TACTGCTAAAAAGGCTGTGGGGATTATAGTGGATCACAAATTGAGTAGGAGTCAACTGTGTGATGCAGCTGTGGAAAAGGCTAATAATGTTCTGGGGTGTATTAAGAGGAATGTTGGACGTAAGACATGGCAGGTAATTGTCCCACTCTAACCAGCACTTGTGAGGCTTCAGCTGGAGTAATGTGTCCAGTTCTGGGCACCACAATTTAAAAAAGATGTGGACAAATTAGAGTCCGAGGAGAACAGAAAAAATGATAAAAGGTTTAGAAAACCTGACCTATAAGTAGGGCCCCACCAAATTCATGGCCATGAAAAACACATCATGGACCATGAAATCTGGTCTCCCCTGTGAAATCTGATCTTTTCTGTGCTTTTACTCTATCCAGATTTCACAGGGGAGACTAGTGTTTCCCATATTGGGGGTCCTGACCCAAAAGGAAGTTGCAGGGGGGGTCACAAGGTTATTTTAGGGGGATAGTGGTATTGCCACCCTTATTTCTGTGCTGCCTTCAGAGCTGGGCAGCTGAAGCATGGCAGCTTTGGCCGGGCGCCCAGCTCTGAAGACAAAGCCCCACCAGCAGCAGCGTAGAAGAGAGACAATACCATACCGTGCCATCCTTACTTCTGCGCTGCTGCTGGTGGCGGCTCTGCCTTCAGAGCTGGGCTCCCAGCCAGCAGCTGCCGCTCACCAGCTCTGAAGACATTGCCACTGCCTGCTGCAGTGCAGAAGTAAGGGTAGCAGTACCACAACTCCCTTGTGGGTCAGGACCCCAACAATTACAACACTGTGACATTTCAGATTTAAATAGCTGAAATCATGATATTTACTATTTTAAAAATCCTATGACTGTAGAATTGACCAAAATGGACTGTGAATTTGGTAGGGCCCTACCTATGAGGAAAGGTTAAAAAAAAAAATGGGCATGTTTAATCTTGAGAAAAAATGACTGACGGGGAACCTGATAGACTTCAAGTATGTTAAGGGCTGTCATAAAGAGGATAATGATCAATTGTTCTCCATGTCAACTGAAGACAGGACAAGAAATAATCAGCTTAATCTGCAGCAAGGGCAATTCAGATTAGATATTAGGAAAAACTTTCTAACTATAAAAATAATTATATAATTATAATTATAATCTGGAATAGGCTTTCCAGAGATGTTGTGGAATCTTTGGAGGTTTTTAAGAAAGGTTAGATAAACACCCGGCAGGGATGGTCTAGGAATATGTGGTCCTGCCTCAGTGCACGGGACTGGACTAGTTGCCCTCTTGAGGTCCCTTCGAGACATATATACTAGTTCTTTGACAACCAAAATTTGGATGCTTGCCCAAAACTCCCCCAAAATTGGACTGTAATCTCATGAGAAGTGGTTTTATCAAGTTACTTCTGGCATTATTATTTTTATTGTATAGTGTTAGTGAGATATTGAGATGAGGTTTTTGCCCTAATCTGTTTACAGTCCATGTATGAAAGATAGAGGTAGGAAAAATTAGAAGTAATGTGTTTGAACAATAAAGTTTTGTAAGCATATGTTAGCTGGAAATTTACAAAAAACAATTAAACTAACGTGTAAATGCTTCTCGGGGTCAAGAGAGGAGTACAGCATGATAATGTATACGCCTTTTGAAGAAACGTGTTTCTGAAGGACTTGAAAGTGGTGGGAGATAAGGCATGCTGGACCTGATCAGGGAGAGTATTTCAGGTATTGAAGGCTGCGGAGAAGACGCTCCAGAGATTAATGTGGGACCACACTGGGTTAAACTATTGGCCTGTACCTACACGATACCCTGATTTGGTGGTCCTAGAAATCGAAAGGAGAATCTCAACTTTCATTTAAAAAAGGAATTTACTAATTTCTTTGCCTGAGAAGGTAGCCTAGAAAACACTGACCCAGGCAAACAAATTGCTAGGGATTAATACTTGTTGCTGATTTCTCCTAAAGATCACAGTTTATTTATGGTTTTTCCTATAATTGCCTAGGACTAGCTTTTAAGTCCACTGAAACTATTTCCAGAGGTCCCCGTTGTTATTGTTCATATTGATGGGATCATGGTGGACAGGAGTTAATTGTGCTGGAGAGATTCAATGAGGGAGCAAAAAAATTGTTTTCCAGAACCACCCAAAAATCCTCCAATCAGAAACATTTTAAAGAGTAGCTCCTTTCTCAATAGCGTGTTATTTCTGCTTTAGTTGCAGCCAGAACCCTGAAGTGAAGAGGTACAGAACAATGTAAATAATTTTTAAAAATTATTGAAACTTAAACCTCCAAAACATTTGGTTTGAGTTCAGTTCTCGATGTGTCTGAGGTTAGCAGAAAGTTACATTTCTTTTCTGAATCAGTTCACAGTTCCCTGCTGGAGTGTGAAGTCATATGTTTTTCCACAGCATAAGTAAAGCATAAACAGTTGAAATCAAAGCTTCTTCACAGTGAGCCTGAATCTTGATGTGGATGGATCATTTCTAAGGGTGAGACTTCATACTTCTGCCAATTCAGTCTTTGAGTTCTCTGCCAAAGATTCCAATTAATGCCAAAAGTGATAATTTTTTTGAGACGTGGACACCATCCAATAGGACCACCAATTTATTTCACACAGATTACCAAATAGCCATCAAATATTAAAGATATTCAGTCAGCTGGTAAATATTAGCCTGGGATGGGTTTCAAACAAGTGACCCAGAAATTGAAAGTCTCCATATCCAATTACAATTCTTTTCAACTATACAGTTTAAAAAAAACAACGGCAACAAACAACAAAAACAAAAACAAAATTTTAATCCTGTAAATTGCTGGGGAAAACCTGTTGTCCTTTAGCATAACTACCATGCCTGAAACATAAAATCATCTTTCAATGCCACCCTAGAGTATTCTTACTGGATAAAAGAAAAGGAGTACTTGTGGCACCTTAGAGACTAACCAATTTATTTGAGCATGAGCTTTCGTGAGCTACAGCTCACTTCAACGGATGCATACTGTCAAATAAATTGGTTAGTCTCTAAGGTGCCACAAGTACTCCTTTTCTTTTTGCGAATACAGACTAACACGGCTGTTACTCTGAAACCTGTCATTATGCAACTTACTGGATAAGAGATTAAGCTTGCCTTGAGAAAGCATATTTATTAAGAGACCCAATTCTGCATTCTTTGTGTACTCTCCAACTCCCACTGACATCAGTGAAACTTTGGGGGCAAGCAGAGAGTGTAGGATTGAACCCTTAATAGCTATATATTGCCTGGTTTAAAATGCTCTAGGCCAAATTCTGTCCTTTGCAGATGTAGCCCTTGCAGAGTTCCCAAGCAATGGAAAGTTCATCAGGCAGTGTGTGTTCTGCATGTGCAGAATCAGGTCTTTCACTTCACATACAGAAATATTTGTAACCTGTGCCTTTTTCAGAATATTAAAGGGAGAAATAAAGTAAATGAAAACGGGATTACTTTTTTTTTTTTTTGCTATAAAACTCACTAAAATAAGCTTGATGGTGAATTAAATTATACAAAGTTTTTACTCATTACAGTTTGTGTGTGTGTTTGTTACAAAGTAATTTCTCGGATGTATTTCCCCAGGCCTGCCAACGGGGCGGGGAAAAGGAGGCGGCAAAGGGGGAAAATTGCCCAGTGGCCCGGATGATTTAAAAGGGCCTGGGGCCCTCCGTCTGCAGCCGCTGCTCGGTGCACTCCTAGACGCACGCGATGTGGTACTGGCGGCGGCGTAGGCAGCCGGGCGGGCAGGTGGAAGCCCTGGCCGAGCCAGAAGAGCGCACCCAGCATCAGAGCCGGCAGGTCACTGGGCGCCAGCAGCACAGCCGGCAGCAGCTCACTGGGAACCAACCAGCGCAGCCGCAGCGCTGCCCAAATATCAGGTGGACCACACGCATGCACCAGCCACCACACGGGGTCCAGCGACGCCACACCGGGCAAACAACAGCGTGGGTCCCGGCTCCAGCCTGCCCTGCATGATGGGCTGTGGCAGTGGCTCCCTGCCCCGCCCCCTGCTGCACACCTGTCCACCACACACACCACCCCCTGCTGTATTTGGTGCCATGCCGCAGCACCATCTGATGGGTGAAAGGCAGAAGTGCAGCACTTCTCAGGCAGATGATATATTTTGGAGTGAGGGTCAGCAAAATAGCCCAAGCCCAGAATAGCACAAGTCGCGTTGCAACTGCTAAAAAAACACCCAAACTGCTGGTTAAAAATAGCCCATCCCTTTCTAGGGGCCCATTGACTGTTCTGCCCTGGGGCCCGGAATTGCTGTCCGCAGGCCTGTATTTCCCAAAAAGCATGCTAAAAGTAAAGGACTCATTCACTCTGAGATCCACTGGATGCTTCAATGTTAACACTAAATCATATGCTACTACTTAAATGTTTTTTAAAATGCAAAACTCTATATTTTTGAGGCAAAACTATATTATTAATTAAAGGGACAAGATTCAGAAAAGCTAGGCAAGAGAGGTGGGTGGACATTAACATTCCTCCCGATTAAATCCTCAGGTTAAATCCAGAGGGAGAGAGGCAGCGGGGATGTAGAATATGCTCCCCACTGCACCAGCGTTTCTGAAATGAACTGCTGAAAGGGAAGTGGAGAATCAGCACAGTCCCTGGCCAGGCCTCCTTCCAGTGCTTATGGCGCCATAACACACTGCAGTGGTTACACCAGAGGGCACCAGAGTGACTAACCTAACATGAACGTTTCCAACTCACATGAAAAATATAGCTCAAAGATCAGAGAAAGACACAAAAATCATCACATTCGTTTATGATGGAAACAGGAACAACTGCAATACAGACAGTGGTGATGCACTTACTTATGCCCAGGCTGAATTTGGTCTATTACATAGCACTGAATGACTAACAAATAAACTACTAATAAAAATACTTAGCACTCTTAGACACATTACATCTTTTAAAAACTCCATTGTATACATTTTTATTGTACAATCTTCACAACATCCTGTTAAGGTCACTTGAACTTCCTGACTTCAAAGGAATGAAATTACACTCACCTGATTAAAGCTAAGGACCACACGTCAATCTTTGCAGGATCTGGGGGCTCAATCCTACAAGGTGCTGAGCACATCCTGTGAAGACAGTAGTAGTTAAGGAGTTTCAGCACCTCATAGGAGGCACTCAGCACTTTCAAACATCAGGTCCTTAGTTTGTTAATTTCAAGAAACTGTGAAGTAAAATCCTGGCCCCTTTAAAGTCAATGGGAGTTTTGCCATTAACTTCAGTGAGGCCAAAATTTAAACCCTAATTTATTTACCAGCCTTTACTGTCTGCAGTCAGTATAAGGAATGTTCTAGTCAGTTCTTCAACCCATGACATCAAATGCTTCCTCCAAGCTCCTTTTATCAAGCATACTCACTTTTAAAGGAAAAGTTTCCATACATGGCTAGGTAATAAAAATAAAGAGCATTATATTTAAAGTTAAATTTAAATAGACATTTTAAGAAAATGTTCAAAATGGGGTTGGTTCACTCAGACCACTACCCAAGCCATCGACAGCAATTAGCATTCTTCTCAGATTATTTTACATGTCTTTTGAGGTTTTCATGGACACTACCATTTTGAATTATCTGAACTTGTCATTTTTCAACCTAGCTTCTTTTTCTGAAATACTAGGGGAACTAATTGCTCAGAGCTGTTACAAATGAAACTGAGATAGCACATCCCTTGGAAACCATAAGTACTGTTTGCCCATCTCTGTCTGTAAACTACTTTCTACATGCAATGAATGTCCTTAGTTCATAAAATAATTTGCCACAGGCATTAATTTGTTGATGAATCACAGGGTCTCCAGTATCTTTTCAATATTTCCTCAGTAATTCAGTCTGACCATCCACAGAAACTAAAATAATTCTTAATTATTATAAGACTTCTTAAAATGCTTTCTAGTATTTTTACAGTTTCTATAATTCAAGCTTGAGAGTTATTTATTTTTTATACCCTACTTTGAGGCATCACACATTCAGCATAATATGGTACACTACATGAAACTATTTAAATATTGCTTTCAACTTTTTGGAGCCTTTTGTTTTACCAGACTTCTGTGTTACTTCACTGTGCAATTTACTGAAGACTAGTAATTATCAGGACATGTGGTAGGCGGTTATCACAAGTAACATCATCCTACCCACTCTGTGATCAAGACACAATAGGGCAAACGGTACAATTAAAGGCATATTCTGTGGTGCATAACAATAGAAGCCTTGTGACATGGCAAGATTAAGAAAAGGCTCAAACATCTTTAAAACTACTCATTACCACCAGTTAAAATGTGCATGTCTGACCTTTATGATAATCAGTAGTATTCCACTTGTGCACTATACAGCTAAATAAGCTTTAGTTTAGACACAGATTTCCTTATGGTGACCTACAGTTAACTTGACTGATCTCAGAGCTGATGCAGACAATGAATCAACCCATCAGTGGTCATAATGATAGGCCATCATCTTATCTACCAATTTATGTTGACAGGCATGAAACGGTACTGAAGATTTTCCCGCACAGCACAGTAGTATGTAAATGTTGACTGCGACATATATCAGATTAACAAGGTTGCAAAGTTGCTGAGAAACCCGTTCCCTGAGGTGCAGATTCCCCCTGTGGTGCGATTATATCATAAGGTATATCAAAGATAATTGCTTAGTTTATTATCCTGTTGTCTTTTATGTCAGTCCATAATTGTGAATTCAGAAGTCCCTTGATCTTGGTCTTCCAGTTCCCTTATGGACCTCCCATTATCCCTATTCATTTTAATTAGAATGTATTACTATTTTTACTATTAAAGTGTAGGATTTTAAAACTAAATAGATGTCTCCAGATGACATACAACTTCCTGATATAACTCCAGAAGCAGAGAGGCCTATATGATATTCAACCACCATTGAAAAGGACTCCTGACAGTTCTTTCAACCCTTCTCTTCTCTTCCACCATTGCTGAAACCTAGACCTCAAGATTCAGAACACTATAACCAGAGTGGCTATAATTCTTGATTAAAGGTAACTAAAAGTACAATGATTTCTAGAGTAAAGCCAGATAATCACACTCACATCCTTTCCTATAGGACAGTCCTACCAGGAAATTACAAGCTACTTGTGTCACAGATGTCATTGCCTTGATGGTACTAAAATATTATGGTATATTTTGCTTAGCTCTTACACTGCATTTTGATAGAACAATTTAACATGCACCAATAAAACATAATGTGAAACCTAAAGTTCCCAGAAATAGTTAAAAACTATGGCCTGGCTAGTACAGATAAGTAGTCATTCATAATTCCTCCTCATGTATACAATATTAATCTGTATGTACCTAGAAAATCTGGCTACTTCCTATACTTCAAAGTCATTGCCTTTGCTACGAGACCTAGAAAGTGCTTCAGGATTCATTATGACATGTGGAATATATATGCAATAAGGCATGACAGGGAATGTGGTTATCATAAGATAATCACACCCCTGGGTCATTACAAAGCATGAGGTGCAGTCGAGCACCTCTCATTCCCCCTGGGGTGTGATTATATCATGATAAGCATACTTCATGCAGTTACCTTATTGCTTTTATAAAAAGTCTTTGTTGGGGAGAAAAACTATTTTTTTGCTTAAGGATTATAAAGTTGGCAGTTTACAATATTGAACAGTAGTTTCAGCTAAACTTGATCATTTATGTGTATTAATCTATTCCCTTAGAATGGACAGCTGCCAAAGCCAATCAGAATTCATCAATCCAAGCAGGTTTCCATTATGTAGCATGTGTTCAAATGATTCATCCTGGAAAGAACTTATGTATATTCCAGAGACCCCAAAGTCTAGTGACACACTGCTGGACACATTTCTTTAAAAAACCTAAATAACAGTTTAAAAAATGTTTTTAAAAGTTATACTTCAAGCAAAATGTAGGCTAAAGTAATTGGAAGAAATTCCATCCTACCCTGCAAGAAGAAATCATAACTCCTTTTCACCCCAGTTAGGTGCCTTCCACAAATTCAGGGTGACAATTTAATTTAGGGTCCCTACATAAACTACAAAATCCCACTGCTGTCATTCAGGTTGTAGCCTAAGGGGGTCTAATGCGATCGTTTGGATTTACAAACACCTGTCTTGGATTATGCCATATGTTCTTAGTGGCTCCAGGGGTGTATGCTCTGTCCAGTATTCTGTTCATCTAGTGCTGTAAGCAGGCATAACAGCACACAGTATCTTAGGGGTTCGCATAATATAAAGGCCACATTCTGATTTCAGATACATTCAGTCGGGGGGAGAGGATGCCCATGTTAGGGTAGAATTTGGCTCCGCACTGTTTATATATATGGGTACCACTTTTTGCCTAACATGAGCAAGACACAAATTAAAGTGTTGAATTTAAATAGGTTCTCGTCATGATGTACTTCCAGATTTAAGAGGCAGGGACAGGAACACTGTCACTGTGCTGGATGAAAAGAGAAGAATGCCACCAACCTGCTATCTTCAGCAGCCTCCACACAGGGGAGTTATTGCGCAACACACTAGTGCGTGCTGCAGTTCGCACCCTTATAGTCCGAACTTCAGGGCTGTTCAGAAAGATCCTTAGTGATCATGTAATTAAAGACTATATCACCATGGAGAGCGGGGAAGGCCCCGGCCATGCTCCACCCTTAGATCCCCGCTCCTGCTTCCCGTTCTGCATGGGGCTCCAGCCCCACCCTGTGATGGCCCTGGCTGGGAGGTATGCGCCACCTTCACTCCTGGCATTCTGGGGTTGGGGAGGGGGGGTTGGGTCCACAAGCCATCAGCACTGTAGACTGTCATAGTTCCATGTTCCACTGGAGTCCAGGGAAGGCTGAAGGGCCAGGAAGCATTGTGGAGATCAATAGGAACATAGAAATTGCTATACTGGATCAGGCCTGTCATCTGTCTAGTCCAGTATCCTGTCTCTGATTGTAACCAACACCAAATGCTTCAGAGAAAATTGCAAGAAACCCCATAGTAGGCAGATATGGGATAATCTGTCCCTATCACAGTCTTATGTTAATTCCAAAGAGTTAGGGGTAAATTTCAATGTTTATTTATTTTTAGGATTAACTAGTATTACTCTGGATATACTTGACAGGTTTCAGAGGAACAGCCGTGTTAGTCTGTATCCGCAAAAAGAAAAGGAGTACTTGTGGCACCTTAGAGACTAACCAATTTATTTGAGCATGAGCTTTCGTGAGCTACAGCTCACTTCATCAGATGCATACCGTGGAAACTGCAGCAGACTTTATATATACACAGAGAATATGAAACAATACCTCCTACCACCCCACTGTCCTGCTGGTAATAGCTTATCTAAAGTGATCAACAGGTGGGCCATTTCCAGCACAAATCCAGGTTTTCTCACCCTCCACCCCCCCACACAAATTCACTCTCCTGCTGGTGCTAGCCCATCCAAAGTGACAACTCTTTACATAATCAAGTCGGGCTATTTCCTGCATAAATCCAGGTTTTCTCACATCCCCCTCACCCCCATACACACACAAACTCACTCTCCTGCTGGTAATAGCTCATCTAAACTGACCACTCTCCAAGTTTAAATCCAAGTTAAACCAGAACATCTGGGGGGGGGGGGGGTAGGAAAAAACAAGAGGAAACAGGCTACCTTGCATAATGACTTAGCCACTCCCAGTCTCTATTTAAGCCTAAATTAATAGTATCCAATTTGCAAATGAATTCCAATTCAGCAGTTTCTCGCTGGAGTCTGGATTTGAAGTTTTTTTGTTTTAAGATAGCGACCTTCATGTCTGTGATTGCGTGACCAGAGAGATTGAAGTGTTCTCCGACTGGTTTATGAATGTTATAATTCTTGACATCTGATTTGTGTCCATTTATTCTTTTACGTAGAGACTGTCCAGTTTGACCAATGTACATGGCAGAGGGGCATTGCTGGCACATGATGGCATATATCACATTGGTGGATGTGCAGGTGAACGAGCCTCTGATAGTGTGGCTGATGTTATTAGGCCCTGTGATGGTGTCCCCTGAATAGATATGTGGGCACAATTGGCAACGGGCTTTGTTGCAAGGATAAGTTCCTGGGTTAGTGGTTCTGTTGTGTGGT